AACATCCTGGTAGTTAGGATGGTGAGATGCTTAGTGACCTAGTTATATCAGTATCCTGATATATAGGATGATGCTATGTTAGTGACCGGTTAGGTCTATATCCTAGTTATAGGATGTTGCTATGATTAGTGATCTGTTTGATCGGTTTGACTGTTATATATATATATATATATATATATATATATATATATATATATATATATATATATATATAAGCTAGAGTATGATATTTATGTACACATGTTTGTTTGATTAGGGGGTTGGGTTGAGGCGATCTTGCTTTGTGCTGAAGGCCAACATACCCAGGGTGGTCCGGATAGACTGAAAGCTCTGTGAGGCGGTCCAGTCAAGCCGAAGGCCCGGCGAGCGGTTGGGATAGGTTGTAGGCCCTACGAGACGGTCTAGACGTGTTGAAGGCTTGGAGAGCGGTCCATATAGGCTGAAGGCCTGCGAGGTAGTCCAGTCAGGCTAAAGGCTCATTATGCATGCTGTTTGCTTATATATTATTAATATGTTTTATGGCGTTGGTATTTTTGGGGTAACTCACTAAGCCTTCAAGCTTACATTTATCGATTATTGTTTCAGGTACTTCTGATGATCGCGGGAAGACGAAGGCGTGATTGTACACCTCCTTATGTTTTCATGATTTGATTATGGGATACTTTAACATTATACTATTTTGGAAACAAGTTTTGTAATAATCATTGTTTTTGAAATGTTTTAAAAAGTTTAAATTTGGCATGATTTTTTATGGATGTTACATTACATTACCAAAAGGGCATCAAAGTACCAAAAAACGGCATTAAAGTATACAAACATTACCAAATAAACTAAAGTGCATTAGTAAGTCTTAACTAACATAAGCAACCAAAATACTTAAACATCAATTCCTATCTAGGCCCTTGGAGGTCCCGACATTGTGCTCCTTGTGCTTACACTTACTCCATGTCATAGTTAAAAACTTCCTGCTCAACTTTTGAGTTTCATTATCATTCTAACTTTGACTGTTTGCTTGGCTCTTACGTTGTTGAATTTCAATCATTTCCTCGAATGTAATCCTCCTTTTCTTTTTTGGCCTACCTGTAACTTTGTTGTCTGGTGGAGGGACAAGAGTTTTTGGACAGTCACTTTTAGGCCACATGGATCTACCTTTGATAGGCTCCACCTTGAAGGAGTACATCTCTTTCCATGTATCAAGCCAATACACCTTATGCACATAGGTGTATAGTTCTCCCACCTTTTCAACATTGTTTGCCATGTCATTTAGGGTTGCAATTTCATGCTTGCATGGAATTCCAGTAAGCTTCCACTTTCTATAAGTACACTCCCTTTTTCCCATGTACACCCCATGTTGATCATTCCACGGACCTTTAACCTGATACTTTTGTCCCCCATTCCATCGTGCATTATACTTGCTAGCAAGTGTTGTGTTTGCTTCGAAAATCCTAGTACCAGTTAGAGTTAGTGGACCTTGACACTTGTTTAACACCTTCATCACATTGTAGACTCTCTTCATAAGGTACTCTCTGATAAACTCCAGACAACCGATAATGGGTTTTTCTCTCCTTTTTACAAGTTTTATATTGAAAACTTCACAAAGGTTATTCAATAACATGTCTGGAATTACCCTTCCTAGTAGCTCATTAACAGAATAATAATTGGTGTATATCTATACTATAATGAAAAGTAAGACAATAAATTGAGAAAATACCTGAAAATAACTTCTAGCCCAATGATGTGGAGGGATTTTCAAGAGCTACTGATATGCTTCGATGTCATAATTACTTAGTTGTACCATTATAGCTTCGAACTCTAGTATGGTGGTGGTTGTAGCACACCTCCAAAAATACTCCTTGTACTTTGTAGTCTTAAATAACTTCCTCATGTTCTGGTATATGTGTCTAATACAGAACTTGTATTATGTATTAGGAAACAATTGTTTTATGGTTGGTAGAAGACCCTGTTTTCACCCAAAAAAAAAAGTAATTAGCATTAGTCTGTAATGAAACCTAATATGCAATATTATATGTAAATATAATACCTTCTGTCTATCACTGATAAATGTGAAGTTTGAATTTGAATACAAGTCAAGATTTTCTCCAAGATACTAAAGAAACCATTTCCAACTTGAAGTGTTTTCACTCTTAATAACATCATATGCCAATGGGTAGGTTCCATTGTTGGAATCAACACCAACTACACTTAGTATTTGACCTGGGAAAAGTCCCTTCATGAAGGGTCCATCTAACCCTAAAAATTCTCTCAACCCTGCCTTAAATCCTTTCTTTAAAGGCCCTAAACACACATATATCCTTTTTAACTGCCTAGTTGGGGATGAAACCACAGGTTAAGAAACTACATCAATCTTTGCAGTTGTACCTTCATTTGTCTTTTGCAGCTCTAGTACATAGTCTCTCAACACTGCATATTGCTTTACATAATCTCCTGCAACATTTTTGGTGGCTGCTACTTTTTTCCTAAATGATTTCTCTTTTGAAATACTAACCCCATATGTCTTTTGCAGTTGCTCATGTAGGGCACGAACAGGTTGGCCATGACTAGCTTCAATCTGATCCATAATTTGTTTGGCAAGAAATGTTGTTGTACAAGATCTGATTTTTCGTGTTTGGAGGCAGATGTGTTTCTAAATGTATGTTTTAATAAACAAATATCCTGTGCACTTGACCTAGATGCATGAAGTTTCCAAGTGCATTTAACTTTATCAGAGTTTACATCTTTACCCTTTACCTTTTCCCCATAAGTAGGTCCACCTACCCAACTTGCATTTACAACTACAGTTCCATTACAAACAATTGTTAATCTACTTTTGTCATCTTTTGTGAATGAGATAATCCTCCCTGTCTCTAAAGCATGTCGGTCGATTTTATCTTTCAATTCTTTCTTGGCTTTATATTTCTGCCCAATATGAAAAGCTACCTTGTGCACCTCACCAGCAAAACACAATGTTTGTTTCCCCAACTCTTTGATCCTTCTTCTTCTTTTCTTGTTGTCCTCTAAGTCATCACTAAGTGAATCCCACTCATCATTATCAATGACCTCCACATCCTCTTCTTGATCACTCTCTTCATTTCTTTGACCACCCAAACTTTGACATCCAGTGAACTCTGCTTTTGTATCAATATTTAGGTTGAAATCCTCCATGTCAACTTCAACAATTTTAATTAGGTTGTCCTCATCAATCATAAGTCACTATCTTCATGTTCACCGTTTTGATTCTCAAACTCAATGTCATTAGGCTCCTATTGTCTCCACTCATCACTGAAATGAATACTATCTTGGCCTTCAAACCCATTAAATGGGATGCTATCTTGGTCTTCAAACCCTTTACCTTTATCAACTTCACCCTCACCATTGGATTTGTTTATGCCAAGTTCTTCATTCACATCAATCTCTTTGTTTAACTCTTTTTCTGCATCAACTACAACAAATTCAGGATGCATTGGCTCAACACCCTTACCTTTATCAACTTCACCACTTGCTATTGTTTTTTCACCACCTTCCCAATCCAAGTTAAGTTTTCTACTACAAGATGACCCCCTTTTACTATGTTTCCAACCTTTATACCTACTCAATTCAAGTGTTGCCGGTTTGTATAAGGTTAATGCTAACCCTAAGTCACCCTTATCAACATCAATTTGGATTGGAGTTACCACTTTATGAGCAATTACATGTGATGAGGATCTAAGAGGATCCTGATGGTCCATGTCTTCTATTATAACCCTTTTTGGACCATTTGGGGACATAAAATATGTAAGCAAGTTCATTTGAACATGCTCTGTGTACACTTTAATCATTTTGTTATGGGTAACAATGTAACATACTGTAAGAGATTATGCACATCATCATCATTACCCAATGCTCGTAGTCCAAAGTCAAATCCTTCATTAGGCAAAAGGAAATGGTAATACATGATTTTAGTACCATCATACCCTAATTCTCTCATCATTAAGTCTAGTTCATGCATATGAAATTCATCAATGTCGACAACATCAAAGTACCTAAATTGCCCATTAATATACCTGATTTTGGAAACTTTGTGAAACTCCCTTTGTGATGAAGTTTAATAGAGAATATGTTGGGGTAACCATCTTCAAAACAGATAGAGACGATTGTTAGAGTTTTTCAAAGTTTGAAACTTGATCATCAAATACAAAGAATCTTACCACAAACTTCTTGAACGTTAACATTCTCTCCAAGATTTCTGAGTCCCCACATTTTCAAAAGCATGGAGAAAAATCGATTCTCACATAATGGTTAGGGTTTTTGCGTTTTAATTGATAAACGAGGTGTGAGAGAAGACGAAGGAGTGAAGTACAGTCTGCAATCTTATTAATTGAAGTGGCAGCAATGGAGGCTGGTGAGAAAAATGACCAAAATACCCACACATGGAGGGCACGTGATGGCCCTAACTGTCCAAACAAACGGACTAATACGGAATGGACTAAAAACCTAGAAAAACCCTGATTTTGGACCTTCTGTGCAAGCTGAAAATTTTTTGGATCTCATCCAAGGATTTTAGCAAACCACAAGGACAAAATTTGCAATTTTGTCTTTCTGGAAATTAGAGAGAGAGAGAGAGAGAGAGAGAGTGAGAGAGAGAGAGTGAGTGAGAGTGAGAGAGAGATGGGGTAGGGGATATTTTTTTTTTCATTTTTAATTAAAATAGTATTAGAATAATTATAAAAATATAATAAAAGAAAATAAAATGACATAATCATATTTTTAATTTTTTTTTAACCAAAATCATAAAAGTATTTCGATTTTAGACATTCCACGCAAGTAGGAATGTTTTTGGAGAGTATCTAAATCTTTTTGAATAACACTAGTCTTTGGAGTTTTATCTATAGTTTATTTTCAAATTTATCATCTTCTTTAACCTTGCCCTCTTTACACGTGTATCTATAATAGGGTAAAACCGCTATAGTGGAATTTACATGTATATGTAAAATGGTAAAAACGCTGTAGTTTGAAATTCAACTATACACACAACAAAAAGTCGTTGTTGCACTGTTGCTAAAACCCTTGCGCACAAAATCTACATTTTCCAAAAACAGGGGATGAGTTCTAATCGATTACCGCTTGCATCAATCGGAGATGAAGACCGAGATTCCGAGGAATTATCGTCATCTACGCAATCGACCCAGTCCGAAACCTACATGGTGGGTTTCATCGTCGCCAACATTGTCGGTTTACAATACTATTCCGGCCGGATAAGTGGCCGAGAAATGGTTGGTCTTGTTAGGGAACCATTGAATCGCTTCGACTCCAACGCCATCAAAGTCGTCAATACTCGAACTATCCAAGTTGGTCATATCGAAAAGAAGGTAGCTAGTGTACTTGCCCCTTTAATCGACTCAAATTTGGTTCATGTTGAAGGGATTGTACCCAAAACCCCTAAAAACGCAGCTGCGTATAAAATCCCATGTCATATTCACGTTTTTTCAAAGATTGAAGCTTTTGAGATCGTCAAATCCGCATTAGGGTTGTTTTTATTCTCGCCAGATGATCCTTCGTTTAGTATGTCTGAATCTATGGTCGTGAAAGAGAAGAAAAAGGGTGATTTGGATGAGATTTTTAAGTTGGTCGACGATAATTCTAGTAAAAGTATGGTGAATGGAGTTATGGAGCCTCCAGAAGATTTCATTTTACCGGATCTTTTTCTGCATCAAAAGGAAGGTTTATATTGGCTGCACCACCGTGAGAACTCCGACGAGCTGCCACCCTTTTGGGAAAAAAGGGACGAGGGTTTTGTGAATGTGTTGACCAATTATCAGTCCGATATTCGACCCGAGCCTCTACGTGGTGGGATCTTTGCTGATGACATGGGATTGGGTAAAACTCTCACTTTACTTTCTTTAATTGCGTTGGATAAATGTAATGATGTAAACGTAAATGAAGAATTGAAAGACGAGGTTTTGGTTGTCCCAAGTGGTAAAAGATCAAGAAAGGGGAAAATGAACAAAACCATTAGGCCTAGTAAGAAACAGAAAAAGGAAGAAAACATAAGTGAAATTGGCTCAAAAATGACTTTGATTGTTTGTCCACCTTCTGTTTTCTCAACTTGGATAACACAACTAACCGAGCACACAAAAAGGGGAAGGCTAAAAGCATATATGTACTATGGGGATCGAACTCAAGATATCTTAGAGCTTCAAAAGTATGACATAGTCTTGACAACTTATAGTACACTCGGAAGTGAACTAAATAACACGAATACACCCATAAAGAAGATATCATGGTGGCGTGTGATCTTGGATGAGGCACATGTAATCAAGAATCATAAGGCAAACCAAAGTGTTGCTGTGACTATGTTGAATGCTAAAAGGCGATGGGTTGTTACAGGAACACCCATTCAAAATGGCTCAATGGACTTATACTCTCTCATGGCATTTCTAAAATTCGATCCGTTTTCAATCAAAAGCTATTGGGATAGATTAGTCCAACGACCAATCGCTCAGGGGAATGCAAAAGGGCTCTCAAGACTCCAGGTAAGATCAATTAAATCAATAAATCAAGATAATAATAATACTTTCTGTGTGTATAATTTCATTTAGAAAATTGTTTTTATTTGTGTTTAGGCGTTAATGGCAACTATTTCTTTAAGGAGGACGAAAGAAAAGACCGAGATTGGGTTGCCTCCAAAAACCATCCATACATGTAATGTGGAGCTTTCTGTAGATGAACGTAAGCTTTATGATGAGATGGAATCAGAAGCTAAAAGTTTTGTTGAGAAATATATTGCTAATGGAAGTGTGACACACAATTACTCAACTGTTCTAAGCATCATTCTAAGGCTTCGCCAGATATGTACACATACAGAATTGTGCCCTGAAGACGTTAGGGCATCACTTTCATCCTACAATTTCGAAGGTACTTTCCTAACATAACATTATATGAAACTCTTTTCATGTTGTACACATGTTTTGATCTTTACAAGTGATTCATTCCATATTTCTATTACACAGATGCATCCAACAACCCAGAACTTTTAAAGAAATTGGTTATACTACTACAAGATAGTGAAGACATAGACTGTCCAATTTGCCTCTCTCCACCATCCGAACTAATCATCACATCATGTGCCCACATCTTTTGTCAAAACTGCATAATCCGAACACTAAAACATTCAAAATCTCTATGCCCACTATGTCGCCACCCTTTATCCGAATCCAATCTTTTCTCACCTCCACCCGAGGTCAACAAACTTCCCTCTTCCTCTTCCTCTACCTCCTCCTCTTCCTCCAAAGTAACTGCCCTTTTAAAGCTTCTCGAGGCATCAAGAAACGAAAACCCGTGTATAAAATCGGTTGTATTTTCTCAGTTTCGTAAGTTGTTGCTTTTACTTGAGGAACCGTTAAAAGCAGCAGGGTTTAAAACGATTCGGTTGGATGGTGTAATGAGTGGGAGGAAGAGAGCGGATGTGATTAAAGAGTTTGGAGATTCGGATGGATGCGGGCCCACGGTTTTGCTCGCGAGTCTTAAGGCTTCGGGCACGGGGATTAATCTCACGGCGGCTTCGCGGGTGTACTTGATGGAGCCGTGGTGGAATCCGGCGGTGGAAGAACAGGCGATGGATCGTGTCCATAGGATCGGACAAAAGCAGGATGTGAAGGTTGTGAAGATGATTGCTAAAGATAGTATTGATGAGAGGATATTGTTGTTGCAGGAAAAGAAACAGAAGCTAGCGAAGGAGGCTTTTAGGAAGAAGGGGAAGGAGGAGAAAAGGGATGTAAATTTGGATGATCTTCGGACTTTGATGTCGTTGTGAAATAGGGCGAATGTTAGTTTGAACTTGAGTTACAAATGCTTTCTTTTTTTGGTGTAGTTTGCTTGTGTGTATTAATCATGAAGGAAAAAAAGTTGTTGGTTTGTCAATTTGCAATTAAATCAAGACGGAAAGTTGGTTCTTAACGGGTCTATTTGGCTTAACGTGATTTGATCATTCCTAAAATTGATTTGTTTTGACATGTAACCAAAGTCATTTATTTTGTCACATATACCGTTGGGATGGGATTGGAATTTTATGATGGATTAATGGTTGTTTGGTATTCAAAAGTGGACATCATTTATTTTGTAACCTGATAAGGTCATTATGGTCAATATAATGAATGAGGATTAGAGGTGAGCAAAACCGAACCCAAAAACAGAAAAACTGACAAAACTGAAGCGTAAGTATTGCAATATTTTGGTGGTGTTGAAGGGATAATAACATAAATGAATATTAACTCGTTCAAAACTTAAGAAAACTAGTTGAGCCTATCAAAACATGTATGTTCTTCTTCACTAATTTTCATCAAATTAAAAATAGCAAATTACTTGGGCGTATATAGTAGGTGGGAAAAGACAAAATGCTTGTTTGACATCCACGATCGATTGCCAAACAAGCCATAATCGAATGTTCAACTACAAAGCTTCAATAGCTTTATTAGTGTAAACTAAAAAACAAAGATCAATAGCTTTATTAGTGTAAACTAAAAAACGATCTTTGTGAAGAATACATGGTAAGGGCGGTAATTGATCAAGTTGGGTTATTTCTGGATTGACATATTTAAGTAAACATGTTGAATATATCAAATCACATAACCTATTTAAGTAACAAGGTGAAAACTAGATCTGACAAGCGTGCCATATCATGTTGTGTCGTGTTATGTTGGTATCAAGTTGAAACACAAATAAACTGAAAGAGTTTGACTTTAATCTAGTATTCACTTCGTTTAATTATCGTGTTGTATCATGTCAACTTATATTTTTTCGTGTTAAGTTTGTATCGGGTTAATGTGTTGTATCATGTCAACATATATTAACATATTTTTTTTAAAAAAAGACATACATTTAATTATGATACTTTATAAGTTGATTAGTTTTTCGTTCCAAATAAATAAATAAATAAACCAAATTAAGTATGATACATACTTCAATAATTGTTAAAAAGAGTAAATTACTGAAATCGTTCATGTGGTTTAGTCAAAATTGCATGTTTGGTCCCTAACTTTTTTTTGCACTCGGATCGTCTCTGTGATTTGATTTTGTTGCGTTTTTCGTCCCTGTAGTTTGATTTAGTTGCATTTTTCGTCCCTTACATACATAAAGTTAGGGACCAAACATGCAACTTTTACCAAACCATAGGGACGAAAAACGTAACAAAAGCAAACCACATGGATGATCCGAGTGCAGAAAAAAAAGTTAGGGACCAAACGTGCAAGACATTCACCGGTATAATTTATAAAGATGCATTCCCCCCTTTTCATTTAAGCTCCTTTTTTTAAAATCAAAATTTCTTTTATTAATTAAGCTATTTAGAAATTTACAGATCATATTAAATTCTAAATCACATAAACTTACGTTTTTATTACGTTACTTTCATGTGATCTTCAAAAAAAAAAAAAAAAAAAAAAAAAAAAAAAAAAAAAAAAAAACTTTGACATAATTTCATCGTTCATTTGCTATATTTTTCTTGTCAGGTTCTCTTTGTTTAATCAAATAATCTAGAAGCTACAAATACTAGAAAGTACAAGCTTGATAATTACTAAAAGGTCACTTTATCAATTATAAAATCATGAATGTCAATTGTTATTTTGGATAATAGCAAAAAAACCTCATTTGCACGAACAAAGTTGTTGGCAAAAAATTTAGTTCTTCCACAAAACAATCAGCTAAATATGTAATATGAAGTTATGAATTACGAATCAATACACATGGACAGAACATAAAAGGTTAACTTTCTATTAACATTTTTAATCTTTGGAGCCCAAAAACAATATACTTCTCAAATACATCCGAAATCAATTTTAAAATATAATTAAATTATAGATAATCAGCAACTTAAAAGCTTCTCGCTTTCTATTCATATTAAATGTATTCTTACACAATCAATTATCAAAAAAATAAATACTAATGAGTTAAGATCTGGTTACACTTACACATATTTTATGTTATCCAAATATAAATGGGATGTTTCATTCTTACAGAATTTAAAAAATTGTCTCTTTCCTAGTTGGTAACCATTACAAATGGTAATAGCATTAACTTTATTGTATAGGTATTTTATATTATCAATAACATAAGATATTTTATATCTCCTGCATTTTATGAGTTCTTTGTATTATATATCCAAATTCACATTTTCATATATTTTATTTATTAAAAAAATTAGGTTGTAACATGTTAAGATCGAAATTAGGCATCAACTATTGTTATCGTGATCATTTAGTCAATAACTTCGTTTAAGTTGTAAAAGCTTATGAACTTGTTATCATTAATATAGGTTATGTTCGGCACCAATCTTTTGAAAGCTTTATGAGGCTGGTGGGTGTCATACCACACTTTCTACTATCACTTTATTTTTTATTACACCCTACAAAATTGGTATGAGTCATACCGCACCTTACCGTACTTTTGTTTTTTTTTTAATCAAAGAAAATGTAATAGATTAAAATAATAAAAGGAAAATACCTCATTAATTAAACGAAATACATACTAAATTTTAAAAAAAAAACACACACACACAATCGAAGCATAGTATACCTCATTAATCTCCTTCAGACGATTCCGATTCGATGTTTGTATCATCAAACAAGTCGTCTTCAACAAAATGGTCAACAACGAGATTCGTTCGAGCATTGAAGATGTGTTCTTCCAAATCTGCACAAAGGTTGTGGTGCCCAAGTTGGTCGTATACTTCCGCTATGTTCGTCATGTACGTATTCAAACCAATACCAACTCCTTCTACATTTGGTAAATTTTCATTCTCATTGTAGTGGAAAATCGCCTTCCTCTCATATTCTAAAATCATATTATGCATATATGATACATGCATACATTAGGCTACTTATTCGTCTACGCTCCATAGACCGTGCTGGTACCGTGAGTATCTGCCAACATCTATTTAGGAGATCAAATGTGCGCTCGATATCCTTCCTAGCAGATTCTTGTGTTGAATTAAACTTTAATCTCTTCTCATCGTTTGGACATGTGAATGATTTCACAAATACTGCTAACTCGAAATATATACCATCAGTAAGGTAATAACCATGCATGTATTATGTCTCATTTGCTACAAACACCACATCATATGATTTTCAAAGGTAGATGTTGAATCCAAAGGTCATACGACGCCACTGCTTCTAAAATTATTGTCGGCTGCTTTTGATCACTTCGCATAAATTGACCGCGCCATGCATTAGGGCACATTTACCCACCCCCAATGCGTACAATCAATTCTATCAAGCATTCAAGGGAACCCATGCTTGTTTTAATTTGTTGTATATTGTTGATGGATGTTACTAATTATAAGTTTGCGTAAATAGCGACTGTGATATAGGATAATCACAACTTTAACAAACTTATATAGACAATCTCGCGTCTTGCGCTCTAACATCCTCAGATACTCATCCCATAAGTTTGGTCCTATGTCGAATGCTAGTTGATGAATTGCGGTTGTATATTTTTGGATTGTGGAGAAACCCTTTTTACATCTTCTATCAACCCGTTACAGAAAATATGGAAAATGATTTTGTATATCATCAATAATGTAACATCCTAAAATTTGAGGCCAAAATTTTCATTTTTAAATTAAGTAAATCATAAAATATGTTACCAAAACATTATCAATACTACATCAGGTTTAAACCACAATGTCGTGTCTCAAAATCATAACATCATAAGTGATGGAAATCGGAGTACAATCCCAGAAGCTCATTGCGGAAATCATGTGTGAATGTGTGATGCGCTGCTACACCGCCGGCTCCTTCCCCTTGAACGAAGAGGTACCTGAAACCAAAACTGAAATTGTAAGCACAAAGTTTAGTGAGTTCCCCCATCATACCACATACCATATAATATCATCGGTATTGTAACGTCCCTAAAATATAGACCAAAATTTTTGTTTTAATTAAGTTATTACAAAACCAACAGTATAATAAAACAGGCATAATAATATCTCATGTCAAACTAGTGTGAATAATCAAGCATGTCATCATAAAATAATATCAGAGTTTAATCCCAAAGATCTCATGTGCGGAAAGCATAGTGTGATGCGCTGCGATCGAGCCGACTCCTTTCCTTTGAAAATGAAGTACCTGAAACCATAAACAAAACCTGTAAGCACGAAGCTTAGTGAGTTTCCCAAAGCATACCATACACACAATCCACATATCACGTATCCTATTAGCTATAAAAGCTACCCGTATCACATATCCTGCTAGCTATAAAAGCTACATATAACATATAAGTCATGCATACCAAAAACCTGTAAGAATGCCATGGGCTACCCCACATGGTATTTACCTAGGACTGCCATGGGCTACCCCACATGGTCTTACATCCAATGCCATGGGCTACCCCACATGGTCTTTACTTGGACTGCCATGGGCTACCCACATGGTCTTACACCCAAGGCCATGGGCTACCCCACATGGTCTTTACTTGGACTGCCATGAGCTACCCTACATGGTCTTATACCCAAGGCCACGGGCTACCCCACATGGTCTTTACTTGGACTGCCATGGGCTACCCCACATGGTCTTACACCCAAGGCTATGGGCTACCCCACATGGTCTTTACTTGGACTGCCATGGGCTACCCCACATGGTCTTACACCCGAGGCCACGGGCTCCCCCGGGGTCTTCATGTAAAACATACGATCACAATACATATCAAGACACAGAGTAATTACACATATATCATAAACACATAATGGGCCGGCCTTGGTGCTGTAGACCCACGGGTATGGTGAGAAGACTCTGTTGGAATAGTGTTTAAGGCTGCAACTATATTAAGCACGTATTTGACCCGATTGAGCATGGTCCTTTTGGGTTGCCTTCACCATAGCAACTTGATAGGATGATTAACAATGAGAGTTGAAATATTATAAGGAATAATATTATTATTATTTGATTAATATAAGTCATAAATTAATTAGGAATTAATTTGG